GTGGAAAAAATTAAATGTAACACCTATTTTCAAAAAGGGGAGTAGGCTAAAAGCATCCAACTACCGGCCAGTCTCGCTCACTTGCAAAATTATGGAAAGTATATTACAAAAAAGAATAATGGAACAATGCGTTGCTAATGGTCTAATTTCTCCAAACCAGTATGGCTTTGTTCATCGTAAGGGATGCGTATCAAACCTTTTAGAAACTCGGGATATCATGACGGAAGCAACTCACTGCAGACACGCCGTAGACGTCCTTTACACAGACTTTGCAAAGGCGTTCGACAAAGTACCATATAAACGCCTCCTTCATTTGCTGAGAGCGTACGGTATTCAAGGCGCTCTCGTTGATTGGGTTGGAGCTTGGCTAAACAATCGATGTCAACAAGTGGTTATAAACAGCATTACTTCTGAATGGAAAGCGTTCACTAGTGGAGTGCCTCAAGGCTCGGTCTTGGGCCCATTGCTATTCGTAATCTTTGTAAACAACCTGCCTGACAGAATTGCTCATCATATGAAACTGTTTGCCGAAGACAGCAAAATAATTGAGATAATTAAAAAGGAGTCAAACAACATCACTCTCCAAGATGACGTTGACAGAGCAGTGGAATGGTCACACATTTGGCTCTTGCATTTCAACGTTGAGAAATGCAAAGTAATGCATGTTTGGCGCGGATGTAACAAGTCGACGTACAAATACTCAATGTCTAACGTCGACGGCACCCGTCGTGAAAAAAAACCTCTCGAAAAAACCGCAGTCGAAAGAGACCTTGGTGTGATGGTCTCGAATGATCTTAAAGTCAGACCGCAAATAGAGTCAGCCGCATCAGTAGCAAATAGAATGCTAGAGCGACTCAAAAAAACATTTCGCAGTCGCAGCTTTTATTTATGGCGCACTCTGTATCTTACTTACATTCGCCCCCATCTTGAGTTTGCTGTACAAGCCTGGTCACCGCATTTAAAATCAGACGTTACCATTCTCGAGCAGGTCCAACAACAAGCAACAAAAAATATCGACTATTAAACACCTGTCCTATGAAGATCGACTCCAACGGCGTGGTTTAACAACTCTTTTAGAACGCCGCAAAAAAGCAGATCTTATCGAGCAATTCAAAATCAATCGTAAACTCGAGCTTGTCAGTTTTGTCGTCCCGCAAAAATTTTCAAAAAGTAAAGATAAGAATATTCTAAGAGGCAATAACCATAAACTAGAACGTCAGATGGTAAAAAACTGTGAAGAGCGATATAACTTTTTTTCAAACAGAATTGTTGCCCCATGGAATGCGCTTTCGCAAGAAGCAGTGAACGCTCAATCAATCAACGCTTTCAAAAATAACATAAGAAAGTAACTTTATAGATACAACTGCTGCTTTGTCTGTAGCGTCTGTATCTCCATGTTCGTCAGCATAGAGGGGCCTGGTGTAGCTCTTCATCAATTTATAAATATAAACCTCTTCATCAAATTATAAATGGTTTATTGTATCTGTATTTGATCACTGAAATTTTTTTTTTTTTTTTTTTAACATCTTTGCTTCCAACAAGACTGCAAGCAACCACTAATTAGTGTTGGAAGTTACTGGAAGAGAAAAGATGAAGATTGTAGAGCAAGATAACGATTGACAGACGACTTAAAAGATTGCAAATTATATGAATCAGGAAAACATGATGAAGGAAGCGAATACCAAAGAGCTGATGTTCGAGGAAAAAAACTAGACGAATAAGAGTTTTTGGAGCACTTAGGAACAGTAATAGAAAAAGGATGAGACTTAATTGAATGACGAGTAACATGAGAATGATTTTTAGTAGATGGCACAAGAGACGCTAGATCTTTAGAGCAGTGCCTATTATAGTATTTGTAGAAAAGAGAAAGAGAAACAACATTACGACGATGTGACAGAGGTTGAAGGTTGGCTGCAAGAGCAGGCCCAACTAAGTTTACAATGCGTTTTGGCACCTTGTCTAAAAGAGAAAGGACATCATTAGAATATCCACCCTAGATATGGCAACAGTATTCCATACAAGGCCGGATTTGAGATTTATAGAGATAGAGAATAGAATCCAGAGTAAGAAAGTGACGAGCTTGATAAAGAGAAGCGACTTTAGCAGATGCTAATTTTGCAACGGATTTGATATAAGGTTTTCAAGAAAGATCAGAAGTAAGACTTAATCTTAGAAGAAGAAGGGTAGAAGACTCATCGAGTACATTACCGTTCATAAATGTAGAAAGGTCTAAATTATTGCGATAACGATTGGCTGAAAGAAAATTGAGTTTTATCTGAATTAAAGTTCACTAACCACTTTGAGCCCCATGCTGCAGCAAAAGTGAGATCCTTTTCAAGCTCAGATGCCCCCTGCAAGCAATCAGAGGGAGTTGGCTTCTTATCGTGACAAGAATAAATGGTAGTATCATCAGCGAACAATGCCACCTTAGATGTGAGAAAAGCTGGAAGATCGTTAATGTAAATTGAAAAGAGTAAAGAGCCAAGGATTGAACCTTGAGGAACCCCTGAGGTTACAGAATAAGAAGAAGAGTGCTGTCCATCGAGGACAACTTTTATACTACGATTGGAAAGGAAGGGTTCAATAATCTTAAAGATGTTTCCAGATACACCGTAAGAAGAAAGCTTATGGAGAAAACGAGCATGCCAAACTTTATCAAACGCCTTAGAAATGTCAAAAAAATAATAATAATATAAAATAGATGACAGGGATATAACTCGTGTTGTAATCTCGAATTCTATCGCATGATTTTTATTGTTGATATCTGTTAGATATCGCTATAAAATAACAATATTTATATGTTATATAAAACAGAGACAAGTCATATGGAAAAGATGTAATTGATAGAACGCGAGCAGTACTTTTGATTTTTATTGCACGATTTGTTATTTTGATACGTTAATACCGCAATATAAAGCGACAAGTTATTTATTTCAATTGCGATATAACAGATATCAGATATACAAATCGAGTTGTATTTTGACTTCTATTGTATAGTTTGCTCTTTTGGTATCTTTACTTTAATAGCTGTACTTTTGACTGCTATTACATGATTTGTACTTTTGGCTTCTATTACATTATTTGTATTAGTAATAGCTGTACTTTTGACTTCTATTTTAATTTTTATTTTTAGGAGCTGTACATTTGACTTTTATTACATGATTTGCATTTTTGATAGCTTTTCTTTTGACTTTTTTATTTATTTTTGGCTTATGTTATATGATTTGTATTTTTAATAGCTTTTCTTTTGACTTTTTTTTACATAATTTGTACTTTTGATGGCTATTATATTCTATTATATGATTTGTATTTGTAGAAGCTGTGCTTTTGACTTCTATTTTGATTTGTGTTTTTAATAGCTGTACTTTTGGCTTCTATAACATGATTTGTACTTTTGACCGCTATACTTTGGCTTCTATTATATTATTTGTATTTTTATGAGCTGTACTTTTGACTTTTATTACATGATTTGCACTTTTGATAATTGTACTTTTAGCTTTTCTCGCAGAGTTTGCTCTTTTGATAGCTTTATTTAAATAGATGTACTTTTGACATCTATTTAGAGATGACAATCCCGGGAATTCTTACAAATTGTTCATCCCGAAATCCTGGGATTAATCTCCGAATCTTTCCGGGATTTCGGGATCGTCAAAAAAAAAGTAAAAGTTAATATGATACCATGTTGATACCATGGCTGTTTTAACATTTAAATAATTTAAAAATCCAAATTTTTCTGGCACGCATTTAGAGTTCATTTTATAAATCAATTTATTGACATATATTGATCAATGCATTTATTAAGTACTCTTCTGCTACAAAATCAGGTACTTTTATTATTATTTTTTTTATTCATTGTGATTTTATGATGCTATTTATATTATATTATATTTCTATACTATATATGCTTTTAATTTCATGTGGAAAAATCGAATTTGTTCCGAAAATGCCCAAGTTTCAAACAAGTTGATAATTTTTAAAAGAACTTAAAAACCATGTTATTTTATTTTGCTATTTATATTGTGTAAGGATATTTTGATCTTATTTTCAAAATAAAGTCTTAGTGTAGCATGAAGTGTGTCGTTCCTTTAATGTCGTTTTTATTTAAAACATTCACATAGTAAGAAATAGTAAACTAAGTTTAGGTCACATTTTATTTTTATTATGCTATACATACACCGGTAAAATCGTCGAATAATACCTGTCTAGGTTGTTATTAAACGGTAGTGGTGTAATGGTAGAGCGCTCGCCTCATAATTGAGAAGTTCCGAGTTTGATCACCACTACGTCCCTGGCACTACCGCGCTCAACTTGTTTCTCTGTGTAGCGGTCTTGTTCGTCATGGTTTGTGTTTCGGAGTTAAAGAGTTGTGAGAGGGTTGTAACCAGAACTAAAGCAGTCTCAACGACTGAAGTGGCTTTTTCGGTCTTGAAAATTAAATTGTAAATTAACATACAAATAAAGGCTAGACACGAATTAATAAATTCTTTTCTTTTTTCTGTGATAACATCAGAATACTTTTGTTACTATTTATCTGCGTAGAATCAATTACAATTGATAGGTTTAAGGGATAAAGATAAATAATTTAACGGGAAACATTTTGCTAAAATGCACAGTTAAATTATTTAGGAATATAATGAACTTCCTTGTGAGATGACTATTTTATTTGATATCATTAATGACCTAAAAAAATGCTCTTAACATTTTTTTAATTCTTAAAAAAATGTTACTTGTCATACTAAAACATAAAGGTAAAAATTACGACTAGAATATACGTCGTGAGTTATATATTATTAAAAGTGGTAAATTATCACTCTAAAAATGCCATAAAATTATAACAATTTGCACGACAAAGTAAATGGTTTTAGTTTGGTTAAAGTATGTTTTTTTTTTAACTTATTCGTCTGGGTTAACAAATAATGGCTTGATTGTTCAATATGTCTAATTATTTAACGATCTACTTATTTAATGTGACTTACTCAATGATATAGTATATATACTAGATGTCTAACTTGCGTGATTTAACTGGACAAAAAGTGAAGCCGCTTTTTTTGTTTACAAATTCAATCCGCCATTTGTAAAAAAAAATTAGTAATAATTGAAAAAATAGTATTTAAAAATGCACGTTGAGAGCCTCGAAAGTTACCAATAAATTACAGATAATTTTAAAAATTCGTTTGAATAACACGAGGTAATTATAACCCGGGATAAAAATTCACCTCGGTGCCGGGTTGAAAATTGTTTACTATAACATAGACGTTTTCATCCCGCTGCAACTTTCAGTTTTCAAATTTCAACTCGGCCGGGTTGAAATTTTTTTATGAAAAATGTCTATTCGTGAAAATAATAATATTGTACAATTAGTGTTATTTATAATTCAACAGTGCAGTCTACTTACAGCACTTATATTGCAACTTATTGGTTTAGCAATTACATACAAACTATTAGAAAACAAACAAAATTTTGCCCTTGGTGCTTATTTGCGCACACGAAAAAATAACTTGCAACGTAAGAAAAAACTTGCTAGGCAAAGGCTTATGAACAGAAAATCTAGAAATTTATGGGTGGAAAAGGGGAGAACTGATTTATGGTGGCAAAATATGATTGAACCAAATGTCCCTGAAACTTGCTGGAAAAGAAATTTCCGAATGACAAAGGGATGTTTTCTAGAGCTTGCTGCTATTATAGATACTGTTATAAGTCCTCAACCTAACTGTCTAAATTATTGTTTTTTAACTACACACAAAAAACTCGCAATAACCATTTATTATTTAAAGGATACTGGTTCCCTTTGGATGACAGCCAATGTTTTCGGCATTTATCAATGTACTGCTTCAAAAACTGTAAAAATTGTATGTGATGCCATAAATAATATCGTTGGTCCTATATATTTACATCTACCTAAAAATAAAGAGAATATGACGAAATTAGCTTCACAGTTTGACGTAAAGTTCGGCATTATACAAGCCTTTGGATGCATTGATGGCGCTCATATCCAAATTAAACGTCCTATTGAAAACGGTCAAGACTATTTTTGTTATAAGCAATATTTTTCATTAAATGTACAAGCGGTATGCGATAGTAAAGGATATTTTATTGATGTTGAATGCAAATAGCCAGAATCTGTACATGATGCAAAGATGTTTACAAATTCCACTATCAATAAAAAATTAATAAAAGGCACACTACCTTAAACATTGTACAGTTTACCTAATTACCATTCAAATCCTAACTATTTGATTGGAGACCCAGCCTATCCATTAACAAACTTTTGCATAAAAGTTGCTCGAATAACAAAGAAGTCATATTTAACAGCATGTTACGCTCTGCTAGGAACCAGATTGAATGTGCTTTTGGGAGATTAAAAGCAAGGTGGGGATTTTTAAGAAAAATAGTTGATATAAAAATAGAAACAGTTCCTATTGTTATTTATACTTGTTTTGTTCTTCAAAACTTTTGTGAAAAAAACAAAACCTATGACCTAAATGAAGAGGTCGTTAATCAGCTAATTGAAAGACATCGAAGTGATGCATTGGAAAGCCCAAACTTCCCTGAGAGTATTTACTCTGCTAATAATCCTGAAGGTGAATATATACGCAAAACTATAACGAAAAAAAAAAACTAAGGAAAATGTGAAATCCTTTTTTGTGGTTAAATTATTGTATTTTGCTAAATTATTGTAATTGTTGCGTTTCATTACAAACTTGTTATAATTATTAGTAAGAAAATAATTTAAATTTAACAACAAAACAAATGAAGCTTTACAACAAAAAAAATATTCATAAGCAATAAAAACAAGTCCATTATATTGCAATCATTAAAGTTAGTATAAAATGTACTAATTTTATTATACACCTTAATTATTGTTGATTAGTTTTCATTCCCTGAATTAATAATTCCATTGATCTAGAAAGTCCCTGGGCAACCTGTAAAATAGATTTTGACATTCGCTCGATTGATGCTGAGAATGTTTCATTAGAATGTCTTATGGCTTCAGCGATATCTCTTTTAAATTGAGCATCTTCTTTTGCTTCATTCAACAAAATTTGATCTCTTTGTGATGCACTCATTTGTCTCTGCATGTGTCGTCGCTTATTGTCAATAAATTTTAGAACAATTTCATTATTGTCATTTTTACGTTTCTTTTTTTTAGTTGAGATATCACTATCAAGAGATGAAGTTTCTGGACTCTGTAATAATAAAGAAAAATCAACTACACTATTGTTCTCAATACTGCATGAACTTGAACATAGATTTACATTATCTGTATTTTTAACTGTGATGTCTTTAGTGCTACATGTTAAATTTTCTACACTTTTGTTATTATCCATAATTTCCTTATTAACATCATACGTTGATTTCCCAAAAAATAACGGTTCTATAGATGGAGATCCACCCCATATTTGAACTAGATGATCATAAAATTCAAGTACTATTTTTCCACTTCCACTCCTTCGACCTGATGTTACAGCTAATGAAAAATTTTAACGAATTTCTTTGATTTTTTGTTGAACTCTAGTATAACCTCTTTTAATAAGAGTTATATCAATTTTATTTTGTTCGGATAAGATATTGTCAATTAGGACAAACAGGCCCAAACCAACTTGGCTCATGACAGTAAATAATAGCTAAAGCTTTTCTACAACTTTCGCACTGATTTGATTTGTCAGCATTAAAATCCTTGTTATTATATTCCATTTGGGACTTAAAATTTGATAAACTCTGTATTAAATTTGAAACTTTATTGTCTTTATCCCAACGAAATCGAACTTCTACGCTTTCTTTTATCTTTACTTCACTTACTGGTTTTAGTGCAGCCATCTTTAATTTTACATTAATAATGGAAATTGTCAGAGCTGAAAATCCTGCCTCGGTTTTATAAAACGAGCTAGGATATTGATCCCGGGGGAAATTTCATTTCGCTTATCATATAATACTAAATTTGAATTTGTAAGAAAACAAAGTGTTAGGCGGGGGGAAATTTCAGCCCGGATAAGCGGGCTGAAATCTAGCCCAGGCTGATTTTTACTCATGTAATGAGCCCCTAAGTTCCTTAAAAAATATCATAATTCATAGAAATGCTCCAAAAGACTTTGTTGTTTACATTTTTTATTTAAAACTTTAATCTCTACCTTAGAAGTAAGAAACTTATGAAACAAATTTTTATTTTCCAATGTTTTATTAACACTTTTACATAAACCGAATTCATATTCTGAATAATTCATAACACTTTTACATAAATCAAATTCATATTCTGAATACTTCATAATGTTTTTACATAAATAAAATTAATATTCATATAATTCACAACAAACTTATTTTTATGAGTTAAAAAAAACTTGAGGTTTTATACTACACTTCGGTGAAATAAGGCATATATTTATTCTCAATGAAAAAAGACTAGATGTCATCAAAAGACGACTATTTTAAACAAAACTAGAAACTTTTAAAAAACTAGAAATTTATTAAAGTTACAAATACTTAAAGAAAAGCATAAAAAAGGGTTTGTTACAATCAGCCACTTTAACGAAAATTTTTACGAACTTTTAAACAATATGAGTTTATTTGTTTGTTGTCTTAGCCCAAGTTTTGACTTTTTTTAAGCGTGTACACCTGTGCATACCGAGCAAATCTCATATTAAAATATATGCTACATATTTTTTTAATAAGTTGGGTAGAGTGAAGATCTTTAAATATATTAGAGTATTCAAAATCATGCACATTTAAAGACTTAAATGGAGCTAATGATACTAGAGTTCGATTAACAGTATATATTAATTTAACTTTAATCTTATTGACAGAAGAAAAAGATGACGCTCATTGCTTTCCAAGTTTTGAGCGTCATCCATACATAAAAATACTTTGAAAACTTATTCACAAACATTAACAATGGTAAAAACATCATATGAAGGAGAAACTAATCTTCCTCTACTTTTAATGTTAATAAGTGATCTATACGACATAACATAAAAATAGTCTTGTAATCCACATGTGTTCGTTAGGGAAGCAGAGCAAATAATGCGTGACTAAAATGTTAAAAAACGTGACGTTTTTTAACATTTTAGTAACAATATAACCAGAAATATACCCAAGGACGGCTTCTTTATATATTGAATTTGAGCTTTCTACTACAATTTTTACATTTTGAAAGCTCTCATCTAAAGTAACATCTGCTGCTACAATTGGACTACTGTGCTTGTTCTATTTTAACAAAATATTGAACCTAATGAACTTGAATCTAGCACTTGACAATTAGCATTTTTTGATCCAATGATAAAGTCACGTAAAAGAATTCTTTTTAATGACGATTTAAACTGAACAACATTAGGATTATTGTTAAAACCATTTTTACCATGAATGCAAAAAGTAACTCTAGATGGTCTTGAGAATATTTGTAGGTTAAAATGTATTTAAAAGGATTTTACTTTAGATTTAATAGTTCAATAGCTAGCTTTTTGTACTTTTTGCTGCTTTAATTAATCCTAAAACAAATGTTTTTTGCCTATGCTTTTACAATGGAGTACCATTGAAATCTTTTAAATTAGCTATATAGAATATATAATCATTAAAATAACTTTCCCAGTTTGATTGGCTAAAAAGAAATAATGGCTTTTTAAATGATTTGCCATGAGGACTTCTTGAATTCAACATATCAAATAATTTGTCTATGAAACGTATGAATTGAATAGTTGCTTCTGAACCTAAAAACAAAGGATGGCGAGATACAAGTAAAAATTCCATAGCATCAGCAAAAGAACTATTTAGAGTTTGGGTAGCAAGTTTTACATTCATAATATGATTTTGAAATAAAATATGTTTTTTTGAAAGTTTGTTAGCAAATTTTAATCTTTCTAATTCTTGAATATCATGCAAAGCTTTTATAAAGCTCCATTTTATATGATTTCCATCTCCGTCTACAAATATCTCAATATCATTTAAAGTATTTCTAGCCAATGACAACAGTCGGGAAAAACATGTATAGGATGATCAAAGTCATCATATAAAAATTTTGTCATCATATAAAAATTTTGTCACCATATAAAAATTTTGGCTTGATATTATTTGGTTCTTTATCACATTGCACTCCGAATGGTAAAACAAAATTAAAGTTAGTACTTGTACCATCAAAAGTAATGCTATGAACGCAATGTAATGCTATGAATGCAATGTTATAAAAGCAAAACGCAAAAATGCAAAAAAAGCAAAACGTAAAATGAACACAATGTTATAAAAGCAAAACGCAAAAGTAATGCTATGAATGCAATGTTATAAAAGAAAGATATATCCAAAATCTTTTTAATAAAACACGTTAAATCTGATGCTTTTATTTTATTGCAAAAAATATAACCAATTGGTGTCTTCCAGTGTCCTTTAAGGCCGACAAACATAAAAGCAATAGTATCCAGATCACAAGCTACAATATTTTTGCCATAACCAACGAACCCAATTTATTGTCCCATGATTTTATTGCCATAGCATCTATTATCAGAGCACAATGCTTGTAATTGTTATCAGATTTTAATTTTTCTTGTAGAAAAGAAAACATATCATAAAATAAACCTGGTTCACAATTTATAGAGGAAGTCCAGTTGGCTATTGAACTTGCAGCTGGAGGAGATAGTAATGGTCGAAGAAAATTATAGGCACGCGGAGAATAAAATTGTAGTGTCAATGCAAATTTTTTTTATTTCATCAGAGCATCGATGATCTTTAGGTTTAATGTTTTGATTATCGAATTGATTTTTAAAAAGAAATTTAAAAAATCAAAAAAAAAAAAAGAAATTTTAAAAATCAAACTACCCTTAAAGAAAATTAAAAAAAAAAACTTTCTTTAAGGGTAGTTGATGCATCAGCAGTAAGCAAATTTTTATTTTCAGCATATGTTAATAAATTTTTCAATGACTTCATTTTCTGATTCTTTGTATTTTTTGTTACAAAACTTTTATTTTGTTTTTTAACTTTTCTTTGGCAGGTGACACTTCTTAGAAGTAGCATCATCACTACTAAAAGAAAAAATAGCAGAAGAAGATGCGAACACAGACTGCTGCTGAGACGGAAAAGCAGGAGTAGGACCATCAAAAATTGAAAAATCTACTTTGTCATCAGTTTTAAGTTT